AGTGAGGAGGGGAAACATCAGGAAGATATGGCCACAGTCACCTACCAACAAATGCTTTTCCAGTGCCCTCTTCTGGAAAATATTTTTGGCCCAAGCAACTGTTTCATATAATGTAGTCTGAGGCTGATGGTGACTTGCCAAGAGCTGCAGGAGCATCCCCCAGTTCTTCACACCCAGAATCTGTTCTGCCCCTGTGACTGGTGGAGCTGTGCATCTTTTCATGCCCTTCAGAGCAGCTTGGCCAGACCCTCAGAGCACTAGCCAGGAAACAGGAAGCAAAGGACATGCCTCATTTTTTGTACCTGATATACCTGAAAGCTGCCCTTGACTGTCCTCTGGCACGGGGACCCAGGGGTCCTGAACTGGAGCACCTCCTGCAACATTATGCTCTTCAAAGCCAGACCTTGTCACCACCAGCTCTCAAGATCCTCCACAGACAAGAACTATGGAGGATGAAATATTTGGTAATCCCATCCTTTCGAGGAGCTGATAAAACATTGCTATTAAGCAGCTGCAAATGGCTAACGAATGCATCGGTTGGTCTGGTAATTGCAGCCTGTGGCTGTTTTTGTCACCTCTTTCCCTTGGAAAGAGCAGACCAGCCTTTGCTCCCCAGCTGCAGGTCCCGTTCTGTTTTGTCTCACATCAAGCAGTGCCAACCCACTGGCCCCTCCCTGCCCCCCTGTCCCAGCCAACTTCAGTCAACAAGGACACTACTGGGGACAGCCACAGGCTCTTCTCCAGCCCTGGCCAGAGGGGAGAAGGTGAAGAGGGAACAGCTGGTACAGTTGTGTTCGAGTGCTGGGGCCAGGTGATGGCCAGTGTCCTTATCCAGACCAGTGGCTTTTGAGCCAGCTCAGTGAGCAGCTGGCTCCTGTGGTGGTGGCACAGCCCTTCCCTTCCCTCTCTGTCTGTTTTACCAGTGCTTAATTCCTACTCAAACTATTCTGTGATTCTGCAATCCCTGTTTGTCCACAGCAGAAGAAAAATTAAATTAATTATATCTGTTGCCCATAGAGCCAAATCTAGAGGCATGTGAACCCCATTATTTGCCGTATTAACTGGCAGGGGAGGTGGTGTGAAATTCCTCAGAGTTTTTGATGAGTTATCTCAGCAAAGACAATGCTTGTGCAGCTGCCCCAGCCCGGCTGCACTGGAATTGCTGTCGAGGGCAGGTAGTGTCCTGAGGATCAACTCATGTAGGTGCTACACACTGGGATGGCTTTCCCCACTCCTTGCTGTTATTTAGAAAACCTTCTGTAATTTGTGCATGGATGTTTGATGACATACACACACACGCACCAAGTATATATATATTTAAAATATTTTAGGATCTTTTGTTCCTTCTTTCATTAAATTATTTTAGCCAAAACCAGCACCTCTGTCCCCTTTCTCTTGTATGTGTCCCGATGCACCTTTTGTTTATTATCTGCTTGATCATAGTGTTTCCCTTTATTTCAATCCTTCAAGGGATTCTTTTGCAGCCCCAGCCTGATGCCCTCCACCTCCAATACCACTCAAGAAGGCAGGGATTGTGGGATGAGCAAGGACATCCCATTGATCTGCTTCTGCCTGAAATACAGCGGGTTTTCCACCTGAGATTAGTGAGAGAGGTGGGAGGATGGAACCTCTGAGGCCAGTGAGCACAATCTTTTGCTTTGGGTATTTCCACAAGAGCATCCCACACCCCATAGCAGCCTGCAATTCCTATCACTTTGTCCCATGTAGGATAGAGGGTTTTCTCCACCTTGCAATGCTCACTCGCCAGCTCTGCAGGAGGGTAGGGGCTGTCCAGATGTCTACTTTCAGAAAGGCATTAAAATAGCCTTCGGTGACTTGGAGATGGGGAGCTGGAGCACCTTGACCTGTGTCCTGCAGCATGGGCTGTAGAAAGGTTCCTTGCCTCTCTTGTAAATGCTTCAGAGGCATTTTTAGGCTTTGAAAAATTCTTTTGTAGCATGGCAAGTGCAGCTTCATCCTTCATAATTGTGGTCAATGTTACGAGAAGTGTTTTGGATAACACCCTCGGTGGTCAGGGATGTAGGCAGGGGCAACAGCCAGTGCCGAGCACAGGGGCTGCGAGAGCCGCGCAAACTCCGGCCTCCTGCAGCGCCGCTTTTCCACGCTGCGGTATCGAACCGGGAGTACCGACCCGGGGTCCCGAACTGGTGGCGGGCACGGCGCGGGCCATGCACCTGCTGGCAGCCGGCAAGGCTGGGGTCGCACACAGCACCCCGCAGGTGGAGCCTGTCCCGGGTGGCCCCACAGAGGAAGGGACCCCGGGAGGGACAGAGCCCGCGCAGAGGCTCGGCAGGGGCCGGGCTGGGCCGGGCCGGGCCGGGCCGGGCGGGGCCGGGGGGCGCACGGCGCCGTGCGCATGTTCGGCCGTGCGTCACAATAGCGGCGGTGGGAGCGCGCCCGGTCCCAGCCGATCGCGGCTGGTTTGAGCTGGTGCGTTGCCACAGCGACGCCGCGGCGCTATAAATAGGAGCGCGGCGGCGGTGGCGAAGCTTTGTCAGCCGCGGCGCCCCGCTCGCTCCGCCAGCCCCGCTCCTCCTCAGCCGGTCCGGCGCTCCCGCCCGGCTCCGCGCACCGCGCCCGGCTCGCAGGAGGAGGGGGAGGCGGCTCGGAGCGAGGGGATCGGCTGCCGCGGGGGCTTGACAGCAGCTCCGCCAGCGCTGCCCGAGGTGAGGTGAGGTGAGGCGGGTGGCACGGTGTGCCGGGATGTAGCGGGATGTGCCGGGCTGTGCCGGGGAGCGGAGCGGGCGGGCGGGCGGCGGGGCCGCGGCGGAAGCGGCCGGCGCGGAGCCACGTGTCTGCGGGGCCGCTGCCAAGCAGCGCGGCCCGGGCTGGGCGCCGGTGCTGCCGCCGGGCACGGGGAATCCCCGACCCCGGCAGGGAGGCGGGAGGCTCCAGGCGGCTGTAAGCGGGCCAGACCGGCTCCCCGGCTCGCCTGGGGAGTATTGGCGGCGCTTTCCGGCAGCGGGGGAAGGGACGGCCCCGCCGTGGCCGCCGGGCTGTTTCCGGGGTGGGGAAAGGCAGGTGCGTGGCAGGAACAGGGCTTGGGGCGCCCGGGCTCGCCCTTGGGCCGAGCGGCGCCGGGGCGCGGGCGCTGCCCCCCTGCACAGCCGGCGGGCACTGGCCTGGGCCGGGACCGAATCAGAGTCGGGGTAGTTTGGGTTGGAAGGAACCTTAAACGCCATCTAGTTCCAACTCTGCCTACGGCAGGGACACCTTCCGCTAGAACCGGCTGCTCAGAGCCCTGTCCAACCTGGCCTTGAATACCCCGAGGGATGGGGAGGGAGCCCCGGAGTCACGGGCGCCTCGGGCACCTTTTCTAGACGCAGCTTGGCTGTTTGAGTACGGAGCCTGCAGGCATGACTCAGCTCTGTCTAAATACAGCTGCTGAATAGGGAAATGTTCTGGAGAACAACTTCTAAATGGGCATAAATTGCCTTTCTTCTAGGGTGTTGCAGACACTTTACACACTGTCCAAATAGAAACATACTTTGGGAGGCTGCAGTTCGCACCTACATGGTCGTGCTCTGTCTATATGCTGTGTAATTACACTGTAGTTAAAATTGTGCAATGAGGTGGAGATAGAAAGCTTGCAAGAACTTTTTAACAAAATCTGTTGTGGCCAATAAAAGTAATTTCCCTTTTACATGTTAAGAGGAAAAGTGCTTTTCATGCAGTGCTCTGCCGAGGGGAGGTTAAACTAAATTCTTGATGGTGTTCACTTCTCTTAACCACAGCTGAAGTTCCTGAACTGCTTTCTGCAAAGCTGCAAGTCTATGATGAGATGCAACTTCTCCTTAGTAGCAAGCAACTTCCTGAGAAGTGTTTAATTTGCTGTTTCTTATGGTCCTTTCAAAGAGGCTTTTAAGAGAAGACGTTAATCCAGCTTGTGGTAGAATTATCTCTGCGCACGTGAATGAGAGCAGAGGGAGAATGAGGTTCAATGGATTGTTGGGTTTATTAGAATCAAAGCTGCATCTAGTTTGAATCTCAAATTTGATTTGTCTTTGATAAGTGAGAAAAGATCAAAAGATGTCAAGTGATTCTTGTTGCCATATGTTTCTAAAGGTTGAAATGAAGTATAATTGCTGATGTTTCAGAGTAATTCAGTGAATTTTGTTATACACATATATATGAATGAATGATTCTGTTGGTTTTAGAACCTTGCTAATCTGTAACAGCTATAAAACATCCTTTATCAATTGATTTATAGACAGACTTTTTGAAAATAGAGGAGACAGTAACATAAGTTAAAATTAGTGAATAATTCAGAGTTTGCATAATTTTCAGTCCTAGTCTGCATGACTCGTTTGAGTGTAAAAATTACTGAGAGAAGGTAGAGGGCTGAACCCCGTTACATGAAACCGTATCTTCCCTATGAGTGACTTGCAATGCTGAGGTCTTTGAAAGGTAGCATGCACTCTGCTTAACAGCTTGGTGGAGAATGCTGTCAGGTAGATTTCTGCTTTTGCTCTTTAGTTCTAGTTCTCAAGGGACTTTCTACTTGGCTGGTAGATTTCTGTTAGCAGTGAAGGTTTGTAATGGACTGCTGTAAAATCCTGTTCTAAAGTACTAATTGGGATCACTGTTAAGACTTTGTCTGCAGGTCAGAGTTACGAACCAGTCTCAAAGTGTCTATCTGCCACTCGTGACAGCTGAGGTTTTCATGTACCTTGGAGGTCATGAGTAGAACAGGGAACCTAACCAGGAACAAAGCAACTTCAAGGAAAGCCCTGTTCTCATGTCTGCTTTATGCGTAGTCTGAACTGTATTGAGAATCCAGATATTTACCTGGCTTGGACCTAATGAGAGTTTTTACTACTCAGAAGTCAGTAACAGTCTTGGATTCTGTTGGCAATAACAAGTAAACTCTTTCTTCTGAAAGTGGTGAGCTAAAATAGTGCTTATGAGTTGTTAAAAAAAAAAGGCTGTAAGTAGACACTGGCCATAATACTAATAGCTCTGATGTGGAGGTGAAGGAAAAGATAGCAGAAACTTCCAGGGAGACTGATAATACCATGACAATATTTATTTGATTATTTTTTTTCCTTGAGTAGATTCAGAACATCACAGAGTTGTTGGACAGAGGAGAACTTGCCTTCCAGCTAGCAAGATTATTTTGGCCTGCCTCCTTGGTTCTGATTACATATCTTCTGTCATTATGCAAATGTCTAATCTATTCATCTGTTAGTGATCACTGTAGGAGCTGTATAACTGTAAATGATATGAGCACAGAGTAGTGGTCACATAATGACTATATGAATCTAAGTGAAGTATTGAATGTAAACTATGAATTTAAATTAAGTAATAAACAGTTTTTATTTTTCAGCAGTTCATATCCAAGTCCTTTCACATAAATCTGAAATCTTGGAAGTCATGAGCAACTTCAGCAAAGAAGAATTTGAGTTGACCTTCCTTGATGAAGGCTTTACTGCCAAGGATATCCTTGACCAAAAAATAAATGAAGTGTCATCTTCTGTAAGTATGATGAGAAAACCACTACATTTCACGATATGCTGCAAACTTATAAACTAATAGAACAGGTTGTCCTTGCAAATGATCTGCAAGACAGCCCCCTCAACTGCTGACCTCTAGGCTTATCCTGTTATCTGTCGTTTGTAACGTTAAGATGTGTGTTTGCTCTAGGATGATAAAGATGCCTTCTATGTTGCTGACCTCGGGGACATTGTGAAGAAGCACATGCGGTGGCATAAGGCCCTTCCTCGGGTGACCCCCTTCTATGCTGTAAAGTGTAATGACAGCAGAGCTGTTGTGAAGACACTTGCTGTTCTTGGGGCAGGATTTGATTGTGCCAGTAAGGTGAGATCTCAGCTGTCTTCTGATTTGTGACGTTAGTATCTGTTCACAAAACACGTTTGTATAAAATTACGCATAACCGAGTGATGTTGCTTTTGTTGTTCTGATTACATTAATCATCCATCTAGAAATATCTTCTATAAGTGTAATCTGTTCTTTCTTCAGACGGAAATACAGCTGGTACAGAGCATTGGTGTGCCTCCTGAGCGAATAATATATGCAAATCCCTGCAAACAAATATCTCAAATCAAACATGCTGCCAGCAGTGGTGTGAAGATGATGACATTTGATAGTGAAGTAGAGCTAATGAAAGTTGCAAGGGCCCATCCAAAAGCCAAGTAAGTAATGCTAATTGTTCTATAATTCTTCCTTGGGTTACCAAGATACAGAAATATCTGCTTTATCTGAAACTTGTTTTTCATTAGTTTAAGATAGTCTACCAAACTTTGAAGTAATAAACGTACATTTAGCCAGTAAACTCTACAAGAATAGATTTCACTGGTACTTTAGGAAGAGATATGTAGAGCAGCTGGTATCTTTAAGCTCAGTCTCATTCTGAGATCATACCTGCCCGAAGATATCTGTTGTACTGAAACTTAACTCCTCATTTTTTCCTGTTTCTAGGTTAGTCTTGCGCATTACCACTGATGACTCCAAAGCAGTCTGTCGTCTGAGTGTTAAATTTGGAGCTACACTTAAGACTAGCAGGCTTCTTCTGGAGCGTGCAAAAGAGCTTGACCTTGCCATTGTTGGAGTTAGGTGAGCTGACAGTACACAAAAACACAGTTATATTAAATAAGTTTTCTTTAATGGTCTATCTGACTACAGAGATGCCTTTGCATGTGATGACATGAGTTTATATAAAACTTCTTGACTAATTAGCCAAATAGCAACTGATATTTTGTATCTTTTTGTAGTTTCCATGTTGGAAGTGGATGTACAGACCCAGAGACCTTTGTTCAAGCCATTTCTGATGCCCGCTGTGTGTTTGATATGGGAGTAAGTCTAGTTCTACTTTCTCTGGAACTACTGCTCAACTGTTGTCACAAAACTGAATGAAGTCTGCAACTGTTATGGGGTTAAAATCTGGCTAAGTCACTGACTTCATATTGTTGGAATTTTTTAGGTCCTGGTAGCTTACTTTGACCAGCTTGGTAAAATTCATCCACAGATGCACTAAAATTAGCAGTTCAAACTCAAAAACTGTTGCGTGAACATGTGTTAGCTCTGCTTCTAGTGTTAATGAAACTTCTTCATGTTACTTTTTAAGCTAAAATGATACGTTATAAACTTTTCTTGACAGTGTTGCTGTTAATGTCTTTTAGGCTGAACTTGGCTTCAATATGTATCTGCTTGATATTGGTGGTGGCTTCCCTGGCTCTGAAGATGTCAAGCTTAAATTTGAAGAGGTATAGTTTTGCTAAGAAGTTCTCAGGTTGTGGAGTCTGCTTGAGTGTTGATCTGGATTAAATAAGATCTTGCTTTTTATGTTTGTATGCAGACATGTTTGCAAAAATGTCTACTTGGTCAGAAATGTAATTAAGAGGAAAAGAGGAAATATTGTGAAAACGAAAAATTAGATGAGCTCATTAGATACATAGCTAAATGACTGCACAAGTATGCAGAAGTCTCAAAAAAGTAAAGCCAGTTTTAACTACAGGCTTGATTCTTGCTGGCATAGACTTCTTCCATTTGGTGCTGTACTTCAGACTAAATAGTTTGGCACTGCTCCCAAACAGGGTGAAAGGATAGTCCTGAACCCATACTGTCCTTAGGGGTGGCAGCATACGAGGTCAGTATTTGATTTGATTTGATTTAGGGCTAGCTTTGGGATAATTTTTAAGTTGTTCAGTGTTTTCCAGTCTGCTTTACCTCAGCAACAGCTCTGATTTCAGAAACAACAAGGAGGCTGACTATTGATAGAACTTCCACTTAAAGTAGTGTTGTCAGAGCACCTTGCCTTCTAACACAAGGGGGTGTTAAACATTACATATTAACAAGGATAGAGTAAGTTACATAAAAAGAGTTTTCTTGTAATAGTGCAAGCTAACATTGTAGCACTTCTGGTACCTCCTAGTGAAGTCTGGCTTCTCATAGTGCAGTATGGGCATACATGAGGCATCAAAAGCAAATTATGTCATTGGGTTCCATGGCATGATAGAGATGCAGTTGAAGGCAACTGAATTTCAAGTGTGGCAGTAAAGCCCTCTGTATGCTTATGATCCCATGAGATGACTGTGGAATAGTGCATAAGTAGCAGCACTACAAGTGGACTACAAATCAAATTTGAAGTGTGGGGACTTGCAGGGCATTAATGATGGTTTAATGAGCCTAGGAGGGGTGCTTTCCTTCAGCCTCATGCATGACCTGTTTTGTTACTTAAAATTTAGCTGCAAGTGATATCTGCTTTTGTTGCTTTGTATAAATTTAATTGCAAACAAGATTTTTAATAAGTAAAAGCAAAAGCAGTCAATAGAAGTTACAGTAGATGTTAATAGATGTTACACGTTTCACTAGTATATAATTTTGAATTTCAGGGTCTTATTTCATCTCAGACTTCTGAAGTAGCACAGGAGTAGCTGCTGAAATTTTAATACTGGCATCTGGTTTTTCCCTAGATCACAAATGTAATCAACCCAGCACTGGATAAATACTTCCCTTCAGATTCTGGAATAAATATTATTGCAGAGCCAGGAAGATACTATGTTGCATCAGCATTCACGCTGGCAGTCAACATCATTGCAAAGAAAATTGTGTTAAAGGAGCAAACAGGATCTGATGGTATGTAAATAGAGACCTAGTCTTAGATCCAGCTAACTGAGTGTTTCTTTCCATGACTTTTTCTCACTGGTGTCTCAACTTCTTACAGACGAAGATGATGCAAATGACAAAACTCTTATGTACTATGTGAATGATGGGGTCTATGGATCATTCAACTGCATCTTGTATGATCATGCACATGTTAAGCCGGTCCTGCAAAAGGTATGCCTGTTAAAAAGTATCACATACTTGTCACATATCATGGATGTAGGAGAATCCTTGTCACATCAGTCACTTCTCAGTTCACTGCTCCCTTCATGTTGCCATACTTTGGCATTTAACTTGTGAAACATGCAGTGGAATTAACTCAAATTCAGAGGTAGAGAAGAACTTGCAAGCAGCTCTTCCTTTTCTTCAGAGGTGGAATGTTACAGTAACTATGATATTACTTCTGGAAGCTCTGTTTTAATAGGCTAATAATTAAACTCCACTCTTTCCTTTAGCGGCCTAAGCCAGATGACAGCTGCTACTCCTGCAGCATTTGGGGACCGACCTGTGATGGCTTAGATCGGATTGTTGAGCGGTTTAACATGCCAGAGCTGCAAGTTGGTGACTGGATCCTGTTTGAAAACATGGGTGCCTATACTGTTGCAGCAGCTTCTACTTTCAATGGATTCCAGAGGCCAACAATACACTATGTGATGTCAAGACCAGCATGGTTAGTAACTAAATATCTCGATCCATCAGTAGTTCTGAGATCACTGTAAAAAATAGCTCATACTGTGGCTACCCCTTAACAAGCAAGGGTAGTTTTGGTGCCACAGCTCTTGTAAAACCTCCTGGTGTGGAGGAAGACACTGCCTCTGAAGGTCTTTGATGTGTGCTTAGAAAAATGCTGATGCCACTAATTACTCTTCTCTGTTGTAAACACTTACAGTAGAGATGCTTTTAAAGGGGTAATGTTAGGCGACTTCATTAATCTGGATTCTAGCTGGTATTTTCACCGTTGCACAACATACAGAATTATGATGAATTCTTTACATTCGGCTTCTGTGACTAGTAATTAGAGACCAGTCAATAACAGTTACAATATGTTGTCTTCTAAATTAGAACAGCATTTTAAAGTAACCTGGGTGCTCTGCAGTGCAACACAGGTTAATGGATTGCACCTTTCTATAAAAGTGGGGTTTCCTGTAGGAGGAAGCCCTTACCTCTCTACTGGTATCTGCCTGCCGACCTGGCAGAGGGCTTTTGGGCAGACGTGTTACCCTAAAGCATGATTAACTCTGCTATTGGGTTGTTTTCAAATATATTGAAAATCTTTTTATGCTCAGGGGAATTCCTGACATAAAAGCAAGAGGAAGCTTCCTCTATTCTTCTATTAACCCTGCTGGCATAAGCAGGGCTTGTATTGTTTCTTTCCCTTAGTGACATCTCTGGTCAATTGAAGCACTTTTCAAAACACATGAAGCTTTCTTAGACTTAACACTCCAAAACTGTGTCTAATTGAACTAAAAATGGCTCTGCAGGAGAATAATTAGCTTTTTCACTGTATCACTAGGTTGTTGTTAAAATTTAATAATTGGTCTGAGGCATGCTGAGCTTAATTATGCAAACATAACTGTCATCCAAGGCCACAGCACAGCCATCTTTCAGCCCTATCTGTGTTTTCTGTTTGGACAAGAGAATGCTGTGCTAAAGGCTGGTCCTTAACTGCATCAGTGAGATTATGGTGCAGATCTTTCTAGATCGAGCAAAAGTCTTTTGGAATATCATCTGCATGTTGTAATGGTGTACAACTAAATTTGTGTCTAGAAACTGTGAAAGATAAAGGACAAGATGATTATATGTGTCTAAGTTAAAAGTAATATTACATGAGAAACCATGCAGTGACACAACTGTTTGCCTTGCATACCTAAGATAACTAGAACTGTAAGATGACACCAAGCTGAGTGCTGTTGTTGACACACCTGAGGGATGGGATGCCACCCAACACCTGAGGGACCTGGACAGGGTTGAGAAGAGGGGCTGTGGGACTGTCATGAGGTTTAACAACACCAAATGCAAGGTGCTACACCTGCATGGGGGCAACCCCTGGTATGAATCCAGGCTTGGGGGATGAACAGAGCCAGAGCAGCCTGGCTGAGAAGGACTTGGGGGTACTGTGGGTGAGAGGCTGAACATGTCCCAGCCATGTGCACTTGCAGCCCAGAAAGCCAAAAGTGCCCTGGGCTGCATCCAAAGCAGTGTGGGTAGCAGGTGAGGGAGGGGATTCTGCCCCTCTGCTCTGCCCTGGTGAAACCACATCTGCAGTGCTGCATTCAGCCCTGGTGTCCCCAGCACAGAAAGGAACATGGAGCTGTTGGAGCAAGTGTGAAGGCCACTAGGTTGATCAGAGGGATGGAACACCTCTGCTATGTGGAAAGACTGAGAGAACTGGATTTCTTCACCCTGGAGAAAGACTTGGGCTGACTTTATTGCAGCCTTCCCATATGTGAAGGGAACTTAGAGGAAAGATTGAGCAAGACTGTTTGCAAAAGCATATAGTGACAGGATAAGGGGTAATGGCTTTCAATTGAAAGAGATGTCCCATCCCTGGAAATGTTCAATGCCAGGCTGGATGTGTCTCTGAGCAACTTGGTCTAGTTGAAGATGTCCCTACCCCTGTCAAGGGAGGTTAGAACTAAAATTTCAAGATCTCTTTCCAACCTAAACCATTCTATGAATCTATGACTAAGTCTAAAAACTCAGTCAACTGTAGTTCTTCTGAGGTTGTGTTTTAATACAACTCTTGTCTGAGTATGGAAGGGGTTGCATGATTCTTACTGGTATGGTCAGCTCCTTTATATTCCTAGTCTGTTATCCATACTTTTTCTTGATTCAAGTTACCCAGTAATGCGAGGGTGTGTGATAAGTGACAGTCAAGGTTGTCGGGGATTTTCACATCTGAAATTCTGAAATATTGAGCACAAATTCAGTAAATCAGTATATCATGAGGTATACAGATATAGCTACAGCTGTATATATAGATGCATCTTTGCAGATCTAAATCCTGCACAGAAATGGTAAAATCAGCTTGGTATTGGCACTTACCCTAAAGCCTAGCCAGCCACAAGTGATCTACATGGATTCTGCTTTTATTATTTTTATTTTTCCCCCATGATAGTAATATCTGGATTGCAGGTGATGCATAGAGAGTTCATTTCATACTCACTGGCAGTTAAAAAAAATGTACCTCACATTTTTAGGTAGATTGCAGTGAAATAGTTTTTAACTCACTTTTTCTTTTTTTTCCCTTTCTTTCTTTCTAGGCAACTAATGCAGCAGATCAAGGAGCAAGGGTTCCTAGCTGAGGCGGAGGAGCAGGATGTTTCTAGTCTGCCAGTCTCTTGTGCCTGGGAAAGTGGAATTGAATATCCAGCAACTTGTGCTTCAGCTAGTATTAATGTATAGGTAATATTTAGTACCTAAGCGCAAGGTTAGTCATTGAATTTAGGGCATTTGGGGGACTGTTAACTTAATTCTTGGTAGAATTTCTAAGTGGTTTTTTTAACATTTAGGTTTGGCATAAATGCAAGAAAAATGACTAGGAGATGGGTCACAATTATCTGTGTTCCTATGGAAACTATTTGAATATTGTTTTATATGGATTTTTATTCACTTTTCATGTATGCTACTAAAGACTGACCCTCAACTGTCAAACAAGTATTTGTAGCTTGTGTATGGCAGAACGGGCTAAGCTTAGTGCTTTGTGACCTACCTGTTTTAAAATAAAGTATATTGAAATAACTGGTCCTGTGTTTCGTTAATCTGTAGAAAATTGTGTCATGGATGGCTCTTATGGCATATATGAGGACAGACTAGATGCTGCAAGCCCAGAACTTACTAATAATAAATGGGTCCTCCCCTACCCTTGCCCTCCCAACTGAAGGAAACCCTCAGTGGGTAGGGAAACCGAATTGTTTCTCTCATATGCGATTAGAAGAAGGCTGACTGTCAACAAATTGAATTCTTGTGAATTCACAATTGTTTTTCACTACTGAACATGTGTGTAACAAATTGCATATTGCAAGCTCAGTGCAGTGCTGGTTTTCTTCAAATTAGTCTACAAGTGCTGTGGCCAGCACTGATGGCTGTTAATAAACATATCTCATCATTAATGAGGGAATACAGCAGAGGCTCCACAACTGGCACACTGCTTGTTACATGTGTGAGAACTAAAATACATTACAGGAAAACCCGGGAAGCTGAAACTGTGGCTGACAGGCTCTCTGACCTGTGTTGCCTAGGGCTTTAGTATAAAAGAGATAAGAAATGGGACTTGACATCTTCTGTATGTGCAATATGATTAGAAGCTCTAATTTAACGTTATGAAAAGACATGCTACCTTTCCGACTTTGGATTATATATGACAGCTGACACTAAGTAGTAAATACTAGGAGCTAATACAGGAGTTGGTGATAAAATAGTCTGCTTATTGAAGCAAAGCATTCTGACTTATGTTTACCCTATGCTACTTTGCTGCCACTTTTTGCACTAAAATTAGGAAGTGTTTCTGATAAATTAATTGGTCCTAGAGCTGGATTAGATCTGGACTGCAGGCATGCCATCACAAATGCCTGATGTATAAAGAGAAAGATCTTAATGTATTAAGTAAATAGGGTAAATCTTAAGCTAACTTGGAGTAGGTGTTAAAATTTGAAGCGTTGTCCAAAGGTTGGCATTGCTGATAGAAACAGTGACTCTAGCAAGATGAGAAATAAAGGTGTTTTCCTACAAGCAGCCCTAAAAGGCAATGTTTAACCTCCATTCTGTGCTTCCAGCAGAAATTCTCTGAATTAGCAGGGTAAACAAGAGCGATGGTACCTCATTCCTGAGTCTCTTGAAGCATCCCAAGTGACTTTTTTTATTTGCTTTATTCCCAGCTTCAAGCTTGTGATTGAAATAGCACTTGCCTTTATTCTTATGCACATTGCAAACTTCAGTACATACATATACTGGAACCAAAGCCTTAATATCCTAGAAACTCACTACATCCAAACCAGGATCTCCTTCAGCTTCTCCAAATTCAACTGCAAACTTAATGATCCTTACATGTATACAGAGGTAGTAAATGGTAACTGAAAGTTAATACTGTAACAATTCCACATCTAAGTCTTGCTCTTCGAGAGCTAAGTGCATTTGAACAGGTATGCAGAAAATATACTCTGAGAAGCTGCAGTTGTCTAAAAGACATGTAGCTACTTTTTCAAAGTGCCTATTTGAAGGCTGGGGCTGTTTTGAGTCAGAAGGGAGTTCAGCTGTATCAAGACCTTATGTGATACCTGCATGAGCACCTGCTGGGCAAGTGGCACAGTCTGCCTTCCTCTACTCACAGCCAGTGGAGACCATCTCCAGCAGGTAGTTTGAAGGCAATCACTTATGGAAACCAATTGGTGAGGTTCACTGAGAGGAAATTGGCAAGTTGCCAATTAATTTTTTCATCTGCATTTCTCTTGATTGGTTATTTTAGCTGTTTCACTGGGTTTTGTCTCAAAAATCCAAAACTTACATCTCTGCTGGAGGCCAGGACTGTGGAAACATGCTAACCAGCATTTTGATCAATATGATGCTCCTCAAGAGAGATGTAGCTGACTCTAGTTCTTTACCTTTCTCTCCTGTGGCAGGTATGTCATAGACTTGGCTGATGCTCTCTAAGCCATGTCTAACAAGTGTGTCAAGTGTTGAAAAATGGCTAATCTGAAGCATCTGTGTAAAACAAACCCCAATGGATTTTGCCCAGGGACTTTTAGTACTTTCTATGAGTAATAAGTGTTTGCAGAAATGCTGGTGTGTCTTTAAGCAAGACTTAACTTTCTCAGATTATGCTGAACAGATGTTCTGGGATTTGGGATACTTCATCTCACTGCTGCGTGGCTCCTGGCTTCCATGAAATCTCAGTTGCCCATTTGTTAATTAATTTTAAAATACCCCAAGTGACAGCATTTGGTCATAGGGTGACTGGGTATTCCTGACAACCCACAGTAGGGAAATGTGTTTATTACTGGTAGCTGGAGTGAGGGCATGTAGGACAGCAAAGATTGTAACAAAGTAAGCAGTGCACTCATATGGTTTAGTTTGACCTCCCCCTGATGGCCTTTTGGGACATTAAAGCCTTTGCTCTCTTTTGCTGTGTTTATTGATCAAATCCAGTTGTTCTAACTGCACATCTTAATTATTCCTCCCTGGGGCAGGCTTGTCTGATACAGGAGGAAGGGAGGAGCTGCATGCCAGAAAAATTAAGATCAGCTGCATCTGTCTAATGTGATTAGCTCAACAAATATTAAAGTTGGAGCCAAGAATTGCCTCTGCCTTCCAGCTTGCTCCTTGCTAGCCTTGCTCTGTATGGTGCTCTGTCTCACTGTGGGCTTTGCTGGCACATTAGCAGGGACTGTGGCATCCCTGCTCCAAATGCTCACTCCACTCGATGGCACTGTTGATGGTAATGCCAATTCTCTCGGGAACACATGTGTAAAAAGAAAGTAGTATCTGAGGAAAATACCAAGACATCTGCCTGAGATGGCTTCTCATCACCCCATTTCTCTTTTCTGAACAGTGAGGCCACTTGAGATCTAACTTGAGGTCTAGCTGAGACTTTACATTTAGTTCCTATATAGTCATACATCCCCTGTACTGGAGTGTGGATGCACAGTGTGGGAAAGCCTCTGCCTCCAGGCTAGTTCCTGGGAAAGCAGAAGGCCTCCCAGACTGTGCATCCACACTGGAGTTCAGCTGACATTCTTCGGTGCAAAGGTAGTTTCATACATCAAAAAAACCTGAGAAACAGAAAATTCATCATCCTCTGGAATGACATCAGATAGAAAATCAAAGGTGGAAATATTTTAGGAGAGATTGGAGAATACTGACACAGAGTGAGAAGTAAGGGACAGGGTGAATTTGCTGATGGCAGTGTACCGTGGGACAGATATCCCTTGTCTTACTGCATGACCATTTAACTCATGTTTTGCTTTTTAAGCTGCTGTCTTCTAGGCTACCACATGGGCCTTGCAGACAAAGTGTCAGTGTACCATTTGCCATGGCAGAGTCAATTCTGCTGCCTCACTTTCACCAGCAGAGAAACCCAGAGCTGGGAGCAGCGCTGAGCAGGGACCTCATGACTCCACCTGCAGGAGCTGGAACAAACCTGGAGCTGGAGGGAGCTTTTCTGCCACAGACCTCATCCCCAGAAACTACTCTACTTTAGACAGGTGTTTTATAGGTAAACACAGCATCAATTTGCAGTAAGATTTCCAGATCAAAACCAAACCTCTTCCACCAAAAAAAACAAAAAAAACAAAAAAAACCAAACCAAAACAAAACAAAAAAACAACAAAAAAAACATTATCTGCAAGTATTGCAAGAGGAGCTTAGATGAATATTATTTAATTGACAAGAAGAAAAATATCATAAATCATTGAAATAATTATTATTTTTCATTTTCTCTTGAAAGAAGCACTGATCAGTACCAAAATAAGTGAGAGTGACTTGCTTGGGAGAGTGTGCCTGGTTTTGGTTGCATTACCTGATTTTCTTTACAGTTTGAAGGCAGTTAGTATCTCCATGGCCATGGTCTGATTTCAGTACCCATGTCACAATTGCCTGCAATTCAGATTTGTCTTAAGCTCATTAAAGCACCATATTTGACCACCCTAAAAATACATTGAGAGTTGGGAGCACATATCGGGGCTGGGACTTAAGTTTTGGCAAGCTTTGCTCTTGCTCTTCAGTTGGTTTTGTAGTTCTCAGTACAGGAGTTGTTTAGAGCAACCCAGCCACTCTGGTGCCACTTTTTGGAAAGCTGACAATGAGCACCCAGAGGGGCACAGCCACCAAGATGATGTTGCCCTTTGCAGGATGAGTCTGAGGGTGAAGGTGAGCACTTTGGGCATGGACAACACTGGCCCCTTGAGTCCCCTCCACTTCATCATGGAGAAGCCACAAGCATTACAGGGAAATCACTGGCAAGTTAAAGGAGCTCCCTCAAGGGAGCACACTGCAGTCTTGTGTGCCCATGTAGTCCTGCGAGTATTGCTACAGTCCAGTAAATATTAGACCCTTATTTGCGTGTGTTAGTCTTTGCCTGAAGACAAAAGCATTAGCATGCTGAATCCAACCCTTCCCTTTCTCACTCATTTTAGGGAGCTGGTCCCAGTTTTACCCACAGTATTCCCACAAAAAAGAAGTTCCAGTTATGGTCTCTTCAGTTCACGCTCTCAAAATGCTTTAAAAAGAAATAATTGGTTCACCCTGCTTTTGTGGTAGGGAGCCAACTGCCATGTTCCAGTCCAGAGAGCAGCCAGAAGACAGCAAGGCTGTGCAGCAATTCAGGAAGGGACAGAAAGGCAGAGACACTTTCAGAGCAGTGATGCAGAGACCAGTGCTCCCAGCTGGATTGCTACCAACACCTAATCATTGCTAGGGATGAGGAGGCTCAGAGTACCTTGAGAACTCAGCAAGCACTGAGAGTCTCAGCAAGGAGCTGAGAAAGGGCAACTGTAGCAGCTCAGTACAAAGAATTCGCAAAATACTTTACAGGTATTATTTAACCTACCCTGAGACAGCTGTTTCCTACCGTGTGAGAACAGGAATTGGACATTCAGTTGGCTTAAGCATCATCTTTTGTATTTGGCTACTAAGCTCACTAGCTGGAAAAAAGAAAATACTGGCAATCTTGCAAAGCACAGAGTTGCAATGCTTGAACAGGGTAACATGGATGCAGATTTCAATAAGAACAGAAGTGCTGCTGCCCT